TGTTAACCTATGAGCAACTACAATTGTGGTTCTGCTCATCCTTACTTTATCTAATGCTTTCGTGCTATATGTTCAAAATCTAGATATGAAGTTACGCACATTAGCGGCTTTTGTAGTTGCGGTGATTTCCTCTTCTATCACATCGCCTATTTTGCCATAAGCAGAGATGGATATGGGGGGATTGCACTGGGCTTAGTCCCTCCAAGGCCCAAGAAATTTATTTGTTTAATGCATTTTTCAATTTTTTTTTAAAATAGTTTTTGTGTGTAAAATTATTTTTTTCCCATATTAGTCAGGTTTGAAATTTTGTAATCCGGTCTTAAATCCAATTCTGGATCTGTCCCTAACCATAAGCAATGCTTTTCACATATGGTTTCGTTGAAGAGAATTGATTCTTACCTCACCAATCCCATTTGTTGTCTCAAGACTGATGTTGAATCTTCAGAATTTCCAATTGTTCAATAATATTTGGCTGAGTCTGAAGAGTAGAATCTCTCTTTTAGACTGATGATTGTTGATCTTCCGCTGCCACTCTCACAAACAAGAGCAACAAGCTGAAAAATTAAATTGAAGTTTAAAGCCAAGTAAGATAAAAACAAAGACAGGAATTGAGCATGTTTGGTATTTTATTATTTTTTATTGAAATCTACTAAAAATTTGAATTTTATTGAAACCAAGCAAGAACTTAGTTTGATTTCAAGATTTAGAATTTTTATTCAAATATTTCACCCACAAAATTAATAAAGAAGGGTATTTTACAGAATAACCTGGCAATTGTTCTATGCATATTTGCCATTTTTTTAATATTTAAATATTTTCAATTTAATATTGATCTAACTTTTTGGAAAGTAATAACGATATAAATTTTGCATGTATATAATTCAGTACAATAGTAAAAATTAATTTTATTGATGATAAAAAATGACAGGCATGATTAGATCAACTTATTTGTAGTTTATGGAATAACTGATAGGATTATTGCGCTAAATGGGATTTTCGCGAGGGATAGATTTTTGAGATAATGTTTTAACATGCTGGCTTAGATATCAAAACCAATGACAAGATCTTTACAAGGCAATGATGAACCTAGCGTTTATGGGAAATGTCGAGTTTTGTGAAGAACTGGATTTTGATGAGTTTACTAATAAGTTCTATAATGAAGTGCACATTGTTGGCTACTTGAAAGAGTTTTTGGTGATTTTTCCCCATGTTATCTGGAAGGACTGTCATCTGTAATATTATTGGATTAAGACTTGAGGGTGGTGTTCCTGTGTCAAGCAATGTTGCAACTGTAGTGGGCCTTTCATATTTTTTTTGGATAAAATGTTTTACTTCAATCATTGGTATTGCCTAGGAAAGATTTATGAGCTACATGTTAAATCATTCCTGCATACAGTCAGTGCAATATCATTACTTATCTTTATTTATAGCTTATTATACAAAAGTTGATCACCGTACATCAAACTACGATGTCGATTCTATATGTGTGTCACCATCCTAGTTGAAGAGAATTTTATTGGTTATTGATGTTGACAATTCAAGTAATTATTTCACAAATGACATAGTTGTTGTCTAAGTTATAATTATCTGTCACCTAGACAATCATTACTTTCTTTTGATTGGTAGAGTAAGAGAGCAAAATGAGATGTGACACTTGTTCGCTCATGATTGGTCATATGCGAGGTGGTGTCATCAATAGTGGAAAGCCTTTTTTGAGAGCAATAATATATTTTCAGTTAAGGCAAAGAGTGGCCTAGTTGAATGGAAAGGCTCTCAACCTAGCCTCAAATTGGGCTATTGCAATACTACTTTTAATCTTTTTGAAGTGAGATTGAAGTGGGTTTTGAGTTTGATCGCTAATAGATGTGATGTATTATTTGTAACACGTTAAACAATGCTGTAAAAAAATGGTGTGTGTACTATTTTCATTTTCAAGTTTCTCTTTAACTCCACTAGTATCACTTGTGTCATGGTTACAAACTACAATAACGATGATAAATCTTATTATGGACGACCACAATGTCATCCATCCCACATGGAGTAGACATGCATTTCCAAATTGAAAAGGGCAACAATTACTTCTATAACAAGCAATTTTTATTATTTGAAGTTAAAAAAGTAATCATGCCCTTTAATTTAAAAAAAAAAATGTTTTGAGTAGTATTTGTTTGAAAAATGTGTGGTTGAATAAAGGGAAAAGTTTTGAATTCACGTGTAAAATATATTTATTGTGTGAATATTTATTGTGTGAATATATAATTAAAAATGAGGAAGAAAAATAAATTAAAACAAACTAAATTAAAGGCACCAAACGTGGGCATAATCTCGTCTTCGCAGCAGCACGACATTAGCCTTCTGTCCCTTTTCCCAAGTAGTAGCCGTGATGACTCAAAATGACAACATTTCGCGCCATATTCAAAACATTCCAGCTTTTTCCCATATCACTCACCACTCAAACTGTGAATTTATCTGCCACTCTTACAAAGCAATCAAAATCCTTCATGGACATTGCAGAAAATTTTAAACGTAGTACCACATTCTCTGGTAATTACATTTCTGTCCTCTGTGATCACTTAAAGAACCAAAGATTGCAAGAAGCACGAGCCCTTTTTGATAAAATTCCGTTTTCTAATGTCCGTTTGTTGACAAAAATGATTTCTTGCTATGTAGAAAATTGTAGACTGGAAGAAGCATTGAAACTGTTCGATAAAATGCCTGATAAAGACACAGTCCTGTGGAATTTAATGATAAAGGGGTGCATAGATTGGGGGAATTTGGAGATGGGTTTGAGGCTTTTCAGTGAAATGCCTGAAAAGAATGTGGTTTCTTGTACTACAGTGATGAACGGCTTATTGAAGTTTGGGAGGGTCGAAGAGGCTAAGAGGTTGTTTGAGGAGATGCCGGTGAGGGATATAGCAGCATGGAATGCGATGATTCATGGATATTTTGAGAATGGGAGAGTGGAGGAGGCTTTGACGTTGTTTGATGGTATGCCTAATAGGAATGTGATCTCATGGACTTCAATAATTAGTGGGTTAGGTCAACATGGAAGGAATTGTGAGGCTTTATCAATTTTTTGGAAGATGGTGGGGTTGGGGATGAGGCCTACTTCAAGTACTTTTGCATGTGCAATAACAGCTTGTGCTAATATTGGGGAATTATGCCTAGGTAGTCAAGTTCATGGGCTTGTTATGAAGCTTGGTTGTGTTTTTGATGTGTATGTTATTGCTTCACTAATTACTCTTTATGCAAATTGCAAAGAGATGAATTATTCTTTTAAGGTTTTTGATGAGAAGTTGCACATGAATGTGGTTACATGGACATCTCTTTTGACGGGTTATAGCGTTAACGGTAAGCATGGAGATGCATTGAAAGTTTTTGGTGATATGATTAGAGTGGGAGTTATTCCTAACCAATCTTCCTTCACCAGTGCCTTGAACTCATGCTGTGAAATGAAGGCTGTTGCGTGGGGCAAGGAGATTCATGGTGCAGCCATCAAGCTAGGGTTTGAGAGAGACGTCTATGTGGGAAATACTCTTGTTCTTTTGTATACTGCTTGTGGAAATATCAGCAATGGATTGAGCAAATTCAATGAAATTGCTGAGAAGAATATTGTGTCCTGGAACACAATTATTGTTGGATGTGCGCAACACGGATATGGCAAGTGGGCACTGACACTCTTCAGCCAAATGGTAAAAGCAAGAGTTGATCCAGATGATATCACATTCACTGGGTTGCTCAATGCTTGTAGCCACTCTGGTATGTTACGAGAAGGAATATGCTTCTTTGAATATCTATGTCAATGTACAGCTATGGAGAAAAAGCTTGAGCACTTTGCATGCATGGTGGATGTCCTTTGCCGAAATGGGAAGCTTGATGAAGCAGAGGAGTTGGTGAAAACCATGCCTATAGAAGCAAATTTGTCGATATGGCTCGCTTTGCTTAATGGCTGCAGAATGCATTCAAATTTGGAAGTGGCAGAACGTGCTTGCAGCAACATTTTAGACATAGATCCACGTTGCAGTGCAGCGTATGTATTGTTGTCTAACACGTATGCATCTGCTGGTAGATGGGCTGATGTTTCAAGAATTAGAAAAAATATGAAAAATAGTGACAGTATAAAACAACCAGGCTGCAGTTGGGTTACTGAAAAGTGAGCTTGGCATTCATTTATATACGGGGATAAGTCCATCCTTGATGTAAGAAAATACACGAAAGCTGGATTGACTGGTTTTAAGGTCCAGCTTGAGGAACCTTTGTTCACAATTCAAAGTTATTGTTTCTTTGATTGGCTGGATGAAGTCTTATATGACGGTGAATGAGAGAGAGGTCTAAAGCAACTGAAACTACGGCCCATGATTGAGATTGGTTGAGAATCATCAGCAGCAACTTTCCATTGCATGACAGAGAGAACTGTTAAAAAATGAGGACTAAATACAAGGGTTGGCATCTCCTATGTTCTTTCATGTTGCTACAGAAAAAATGTTTCCATAATTCTGATCTCAAGTGGGCAATTGTAGGCATGGCATGATTTCTTTTCTCACCTGCATCAAATTAGGGCTTCAGTTGACAGATCAGAGAGATCTTTTGATTGAAAAAGCCTCCTATACTTGAAAAGGGCGTTAGAAATGTCACACAATTGACAACAAAAATGATGAGGATTAAACAAATGATAAGGAGACCAGAAAATCTTGGAGTGATAAGCTTGTTAAATTCAAATTAAAAGATAAATGCAAGTTGTTAATTTGTTATTTGATGTTTGTATAGACATTAGTTACAAAATAGTGGAGAGTTGTTACCATTATTTTATTATAAATAGGAATAAATATGTGCTAGGTGCTTAGGGCCTATTATCATCATTCAATAATGTTATAATCAGTCTTTTATTTATTTTTTTCACTTCCTTTTCGTATTTTCTTCTTGGTATTAGAGCCATTGTAAGCACTTGGCACGCTATAAGTCATTTCCTCCACTATCACTTTACTATTTGTAAATGTTGACAACTCCTTTACACACCTCTCATTAATTCTCATCTATCAAATACATCCCATCAAATTCAAACAAAACAACAGAAGCAACAAATTTCATACCAAAATTGACAAATGAGTTCAAAAACAGGTTGATCATTTTACCAATGAAAAACCTCATTCCCATCAAATACAACACATCGAATCCAAACAATAAAAAGAAAAAAAAAAGAAATTCACACCAAAATGAACAAATCCATTGCCTTGTGAAAGTCCGACCCCCTCATTCATGGTTGGATCATCTCAACAGTTTGAAGAAACCCTCAAACTAATTAAAGGCTTCAACACAACCCATGCAGTATGGGATGCATTTGAAATGCTTACATACACGACATATCTTCACAAGAATGAAGATAAAAATCATTGTTGGCTTCTTTACCAAACCAATGTCCATGGTAGCTTTCAAATTTTCAAAAACAAACCGTGCCTTCAGCCCGAGCACAGTTTGCGAGAGGATGTTAGAAATGTCACACAATTGGCAACAGAAATGATGAGGATCAAACAAGTGATAAGGAGACCAGAAAATCTTGGAGTGATAAGCTTGTTAAATTCAAATTAAAAGATAAATGCAAGTTGTTAATTTGTTATTTGATATTTGGATAGACATTAGTCACAAAATAGTGGGAGTTGTTACCCTTATTTTATTATAAATAGGAATAAATGTGTGTTAGGTGCTTATGGTCTATGGTCACCATTCAATAATGTTATAATCAGTGTTTTATTTATTTTTTTCACTTCCTTTTTGTATTTTCTTCTAAGGGGCAATCAATTGAGATGTGAAGAGACGGGCTTATTAGAAGTACAAGAATAAATGCTTGCAAATTCCCTCCCTCCATATTTTGCTATGTCTGTTAAATAATACTCTTCTTGGTTTGACTTTATTTAGTTGAAATGCTTAGAGGTAGGACACCAAAAGGAAGAGCGCTTTTGTTACCAGAGTCGATCCAGATGCCAAAATGTCTCAAATTGAGGAGGCCTTGGAGAAACTCTATGCCAGCAACCAACTTGCAAATCGCTTGGACCAACTTAGTTTTTTTGTAATGAAAGACAGGTAAAGTAGTGTGGTTACTTGATTAAGAGCTATGTAATTTTGAAAAGTACATCCAACGATTGAGATACAACCATGAATGACAAATTGATATAAATTATTGTCCAAGAGTACTTTTTAAGGGTCAAGATAACCTCCTATAAGGAAAGTTACACAGTTTGTACTTGAATGTAAAATTTCAGAAGTGTAAACTGGCAGATTAGTAATTGAAATGGTTGTGGAACAATACCCTTCTATCTGCTTGGTAGCATTCGGAATTTCGACTACTCCGTCAAGTGTGTGACCTGAAAAACGAAGGCGGGGCTTCATCCCCCGTTTTACCTCCGGCGTGAGAATTAGTTTTTAGACTTGGAAAAAATACAATTGGAATTCAGATGGCTAGAGAGAGAGAGAGAGAGAGAGAGCCCTTTACCTGTGTCACATCCGGGGGCATTTATAGATATTGGGAGCTGGATAACCACTGGGCGATTGTGGTGCCACGTGTCCCACGTTGGCATTTCCACTACCCCCACGTTCTGAGTAGAGGGTCTTTAACTTCCCGCCTGGAGGTTGTTCCCGTATTAACTGCCATAGAACCTAGTCAATTCACTAGAGGTTTTATGGCTAAGTGTTTGGATAGGCAATTTCATGCATGTTGAAGATTTCGTGTAGAGGTAGAGCGATTTCTAGGGGTAGTGGTAGAGCGCCCCCTGGGAGTTGTAGTAGAGCGCCCCTGGGAGGGGTCGACACCCTCGCGTAGTGGTAGAGCACCCCCTAGGGGTTGTGGTAGATTGCCCCTGGGGGGGTCAACAGCCTCACGTAGTAGTAGAACGCCCCCTGGGGGTTGTGGTAGAGCTCTCCATAGGGGGGTCGACGACCTCGTGTAGTGGTAGAGCGCCCCTAGGGGTTAATGGCCGTGCATGGTGGTCGAGCACCACTTGGGGATAGTGGTAGAGCACACCTTAAGTGTCGATGGCCTTGCATTGAAGTGCAATGATCCATCTTGTTTGTTATCGAGGGTGGCTTCCTCTACCAACCTATATCATTAGCCCCCTATCCCTTGTCGATGTTTTCGGCGAGGGGTAGCAATTTTCTTTATCTGGGTTGGTTTGAAATTTTTTTTTTTTTTATATCCTCGCGCTCTTCTACCTTGCGATCTTAATGGATTCTAACTTACATGTGTAGGGACAGAGCTTGATCTTGAAGGGATCATGGATTCAATGCCCGACTAGGGGTAGGGGGATGAGGCGGATCCATCACCTATCCCTTCAAAGAGAAAGAGGGCGGCCGACCAAGGGGGGAAGTCTCGGACGATCAACTAGAACTCCCAGCCTTTATATGAGCCTCGTGAGGTGGCTCCAGCTCTTAGGCCGGGTGCTTCCAGCCGTGCACGGTGTGAGCGCAAGGATTTACTTCCCAACTTCGAGTTTCCTCCTACCCGGGGCTATCATGAGATGGGGGTGCTCAAGTCTTTGGTGACACCCGCTCGTTCTAGAGTAATTGCAGGGCGCAGTGCAGACGACATTGAAAGGGCTGCGAGTGTTTATCTCCAGAGGGTGCGTTTCCAATTTCACATTTTCTTTTATGTTGGGTCTTTCCTTTTAAGCTTGGTTTTAACACTTGACTTTTATTCTACCCCCTCATTTCTTAGGTGGTAGCCCTCCAGACCGGACTCGCTGAATCGAATCGCATCCTAGTCTCGGAGTTGAAGACTCTTACTGAAGAAAAGAAAAAAGGAGGCTCATCACTACAAGAAAAAGATATCCCCCTTGAGGAAATCTCTAGAGATGTCGGATGCTCGGCTCACGAGCAAGAGACGGAGAACGACAACTTGCGTTCTATTTTGGCTCATGCTCCAGAGGAGGCGATTGAGAAGTATAAGGCCTCAGCTGAGTATGCCAGAGATCTTGAGATATCTGTGGAGCAATATAAGACGCCGACTGATTATGCTAAGGCTTTGAATTCTTATGGAGGGAAGGCGATGGCAGCGTCTATCAAACTTTCCAAGGAATGGATTATGGCCGAGCATCCTTCTATAGACCCTTCTAGTCTAGATAGGTTTCTTGCGCAGCGCAAGGGGAAGGAGAGTGGAGCACAGTTATCCAGGTCACTTGGACATTCATTACGAGGTGGTAGTGGGGATGTCTCCCCTTCGAGCTAAAGCATTTCTTAGTTGTTGTTTTCTTTGCTAGCTTTTCTTTTTTCGTGTTTACTTTTGTTTATCTCATTATCTCCTACTTGTCTGAGGTGTGGGCAAGAATTTCTCATATGTATAAATACATTTTTCGTTCGCTATTATTAGTGTTGAGTGCATTGTTCCTTAACTTGCTGTCTCTCGTGTCGTTCTTCTTCATTTTCTTTTCACTGTTTGATAGTGCGAGGGAGTGGCTGTCAGAGTTTAGTGGTCGATGGCCCTAGCCAATTTTAGCCTTGTGTTACCCCGTGCCTAGCCGTGTTGGCTATGTCGACCGTCGGGAGAGGGGTCTAGCGGTTAAGGGCCTTAGTCAATTTTGGCTTGTTAAGGTTTCCGCCTAACTGCGTAGGATATGTCGACCGTCGAGAGAGGGGTCTAGCGGTTAAGAGCCTTAGCCAATTTTTGGCTTAATAAGGCTCTCCGCCTAGTCGTGTAGGCTATGTCGATCGTCTGGAGAGGGGTCTAGCGGTTAAGGGCCTTAGCCAATTTTTGGCTTGTTAAGGCTCTCCGTCTAGCCGCGTATGCTATGTCGACCTTCAGGAAAGGAGTCTAGCGGTTAAGGGTCTTAGCTAATTTTTGTTTGTTAAGGCTCTCCACCTAGCCGCGTAGGCTATGTCGAACACTTTCTGCAGACATGTCACATGGTCAACGGCCTTAACACTTTTTACCACCATATCGTCGACGTAGGCTTCTATGACATTTCCAATCAACTCCTAGAAGACCCTATTCACCATCCTCTGGTAAGTTGCCCCTGCATTCGTTAGGTCAAAAGGCATGGCAGTGTAACAGTAGGTTCCAGAATCTGTGATGAACGATGTCTTCTCCTGGTCGCACTCAGCCATAGAGATTTGATGATACCCCGAGAAAACGTCTAGGAAGCGAGCCTCTCGTAACCCGATGTGGCGTCGACGAGGTGGTATATCCGTGGGAGCGGGTATGAGTCCTTAGGGCATGCCTTATTCAATCTGGTATAATCTACGCACATTCGCCACTTCCCATTTGACTTTTTTACTAGCACAATGTTGGCTAACCATTCGGGTACCGTACCTCTCGGATGAAACATGCTTGCATTAGCTTTTCCACTTCCGCCCTTACTATTTCTTACCTTTCGGGGGTGAGGTTCTTTTTCTTCTGCTTTACTGGTTTGGCTTCAGGTAGGACTCCGAGGCGATGCTGATCGAGTGCTGGGCTGACCCCAGTAATATCACTTGGGCTCCATGCAAAGACGTCTAGGTTGTCTGTCAGGCACCTCACCAGCTTTCCTTTTTCGTCAGAGTCCAACTTAGCCCCGATGCTGACCTCCCGGCCCTCCATTATGGAAATCTTTTCGATCTTAAGTGGCTCAATCCGCCCTCTCGGAGGTTCGACTTCAAACATCATGACTGATGGGGCTCTTCTAACTGATATACTGTTGACATAACATTTCCTGGATGCTTGCTGATCTCCCCGCACACACCTGACTCCCCTGTTGTCAGGAATTTCAGGACTGGTGATAGGTCGAGGGGATGGCCCCAGCTGCGTTGAGTAACGGCCGACCGTAGATTGCATTATAGGCCATGGGGGTCTTAAAAGACCAAAAAGCTTGCCACAATTACCACAGTGGTCGGATCTGTGCCTAGCGTGACCGGGAGCTCTACAGTACCTTCTGGGATCACCGTGGCTCCTCCATAGCCTTGCAAGGGGGTGTTCACGATTTTTAACTTGTCAAGTGGGACCTTCAGGCCTAAAAAAGTGTCCCAAGTGAGTACATTTGCGGCACTTCCCCCGTCGACCAATACTCTTTTGACATCAAAATCAGCTATGTCGCCTACTATTACTAGGGCATCATCATGGGGGTGTGCCACACCTACCAAGTCTTCCTCGCCAAAAGTGATGCTTTGGCTGAACCTTGCCTTCTTTTGGATGGAGCAAATCCTGAGAGAGCGCGCGTAGCTTTTCCTTGCTGAGTTTGAATCTCCCCCTCCTGCTAACCCTCATGTAATCATGTTTATCACTCCGGCCCTAGGTGGGGAACGATCCTCCATCTTTTGCTTCCCCCGGTTATCCTTCACATACTTGCCAAGAGACCCCGCCTTAGGTAGCGCTCGATCTCCTCCTTCAGTTGCAGGCACTCTTCAGTATCATGCCCGTGATCCTTGTGGAAATGACAATATCTACCCTGGTTTCTTTTGCCCGCTGGCGTTACCATGGGTCTCGGCCATTTTAGCTCTTTCATATCTCATATTTCCATCAATAGTTTGGCATGGGGGGTGTTTGAAGGGGTGAACGCCCTGGACTCCTCTCGTTTGTGCCTGGCTGGCCAGTCTTGGGCGGCCTCTTTCACCATCTGCTCACTCCTTGGCCTATTTTTGTTGGCAGGTCTTAGCTCGTCCCCGGCCTTGCGCTTGTGACTTTCTACTTCCCATCTCTCTCTGAGGTTCTTTGTGACCTTCTCCGCCTCCTCAACATCAACATACTTGTCTCCCTTTTTCAATAGGTCGTGCATTGATTCTGGGGGGGGTTCTTAGAAAGTGACATCTTGAAAGCTCGGTTCCGAGTTCCATTCATCAACGCAGTCACCACCGCCGACATCTGAAGGTCCTCTATTCCAAGGGTCGCACGGCTAAATCTAGCCAGATATTCCTACAGAGACTCATCTTTCTCCTGGACCACCTGCATCAGTCCAATGGTTGTCCTCCTCTTTCTTTTGCTACTCGGGAAGTAGGCTACAAAGCTCCTGGAAAGTTCATCAGATGCTCGGATAGATCGGGGGGGGCAAGTGTTGCCACCCAGTCTCTGGCTTCCTTCCTGAGAGTCGGGGGAAAAGACCAGCACATTACCCCATCGGGTGCTACATAGAGTCTCATCAGATCAACGAAGGTCCGCAGATGGTCAAGTGGATCTGTGACCCCATCGTAAGCCTCTATCATATGCTGCTTAAAGCCTTTAGGTAAAGGGACCGCCATGATCTCGGGCGCAAATGGTCCTCTTATAGGACAATCGGCCGCGCTTCTCTTTTCTTTTAGAAATTACGTCATCAATTTTCTTCGTCATGATCTCTTCCATTCTCCGCTCCAGATCTGCCGGGGAAGGGACGGACTGCAAGACCGTCATCCCTGGAGCCCCCGAGCCTGTGATCACCGATTGGATGGTACTGGGGTAGAGGCGGAGCCTCTACCAAATGTGGTGGAATGGCGGCTCTTTGCGTTTGATTCTGCAAGAGGGTCATCATGACCGCTAACTAGGTCTCTAGGGCGCTGAACTGGCTTTGCGTCACATACTACGACGGCGGCGGCAGATCGTGGCCTCCGACGATCGATTCTGATTCTGCCTCCGTCGTTGCTGCTCTTAGGCGAGTGTCACTTCGTGTTTGTCTTCTCGACATGACCTTTGTGTTCAGTGGAAGAAATTCCCACAGACGGCGCCAATGAAATGGTTGTGGAACAATACCCTTCTATCTGTCTGGTAGCGTTCGGCGTCCGACTACTCCGTCAAGTGTGTGACCTGAAAAACGAAGGCGGGGCTTTGTTCACGAAATAATTCTTTCGATTTAAAACTACCACAAGTGTACGGTTCGTAACAAGTAATAAAGTGAATTTTTAAAAGTCCGAATATCATCCCTCAGAGATTGAGTAGTTCAATTCTATATAATCTAGCCTTAAACGAATCTAATTGAGTGATAATATGGTCTAAATGCAAAAAACACTAATTTTAATTAAAAACTCTAATTTCTATTGAAAACCTTAATTTCGAAATTTCTCTAATTAAACGACTCAAACACTCAAATAAATGAAATTATGCAAATTCAAAAGTTAATTTAGGGAAATGAATCAAACTAAAGTCACTAGGGTCACGAATCCCCAATTGAAGTTATAAAAACCCTAATTTCATAAAATTAATGACCCGATGGAAATTTGCCAATTCAATGTTCCTAATTCTATCCAATATATTCTCTCAATATATATTAGACCTATTCTTGCACACCACCAGCCTATATCTCTATGGATGATGCAAATATACAAGAATGCATGTGGTTTTGTGAACAATTAAAGAATTACATACAACATAGAGGTATATCTCTATCCCCTATCGGACCCTATGTTAATTTACACCTTATCGAACCTATTCCACTTCTCTCGAATGTAAGAAATAAGTCATCAACACTCACACAATCATTGGCCACTATTTGTAAAAGAAAATTAATGCATGTAAACCAATCAAATTATCCAAACGAGTCTTTATATTAAATTCATGAAATATGGAATTAAAATAACAAACAACGATTCATCGATCACCTAGTAATTGAAAACCTAGCCTAGAATATTCATAATTACAAAAAAAAAAATGAAATTAATAAATAGAAGGAATAGCACCCGTATGAAAATTCTTGAAATCTTGAATAAAACCTTGAAAACCCGTTTGAATTCTTGTGAAATTGCCTTCAAGTTCATGTTCCTTGCCTCCAAAAGTTGCATTTTTCTTCTCCCTGGAAGTTCTGCCCTATTTCTGATGAATTTTGGCTTTTATATCATGTCCTAGCGAAACCCCGAAAGAGTTTCAATTCATAACGGAAGTTCAGAATTTTCGTCAAATTTTCAAGCCATGCGGCCGCATGGTTCAAATTTTCTGCTCAACAAAATCCCTGCCTCCTCATGTGCGACCGCATGGTATAGTTACATGCGACCGCAAGGTTGTAACTTTACAACCTTGCTATCTTGGTCCCTGAACCCCGTTTTCTCTTTTCTTGATCTCTTTTCTTTCTTTCCTTTGTTTCATTATCAAATATTGACTCCTAATTGATGTTTGGGTCAATCAATTCCTTGATCACTTGCTCCGCTCATCTTTTGATTAATTATAATTTAGTCCTTCATCTTTCACTTTTCTTCAATTCAGTCCAATGTTATTTCTTTCTTCCTCCGATCATCTTGTATCGTCCTCAAACTCATACTTGATATATTTTCATTCTAGTTCTGCACTTTAGCTCAACTTTCCAATATTTGCACCTTTGGTCCCCGAACTATTATTTTGTTCCATTTTGGTCCCTTTTCGGCTCTTTTCTTCTGAATTTCATCTTTTCCATAGAAACACCTACATTGCATGAATTTAATGAGATTAAGTCACAATTCAATTACTTTGTCCATATTTAAGTCATATTTGTGAACTAAATAAGAGTGTAAGCACACTTATCAAATCCCCCAAATTTAAACTATTGTTTGTCCTCAATCAATGTAGTGACTTAATGCTAAACAAACATGGCTTAATAGCTTGCCGTGTCTGAGGATTGGACTTAGTAATAATAATAGAAACAATATCAAGAGTGCGAGAATTGAATCAACCTTTACTCATCAAATGCAATACTCAACGTGTGTGTGTGAGCTCATGCCAACATATCAAGCTTATGATTAGTTTATTCCCCACCCATAGTGGTCAAATTTATCCTTACGTCACTCGAGAGATACACAATCCCCAAATGTATTATTTTCACACAATTTCTCCGGGGTGTATTCTAAGGTTAGGAGTTTAAACAATTCTAATCCTTACCCTCTCTTAGTTTGGATAGATTTTACCATTACAAGTTCACATATCAACAAGTAGAGACTCTCCTTATTTTGATTGCTTCAGCCTTTAGGATTAAAATTAAGCTACTTGCCTCGCATTGAGGTTATAGTTCTATCAACCAAATGTCCAACGAGGGCTTTTATTTTTTAATTTTTTTTGTGTCATCTTCTCATTTGCTTTCTATATAACCCATGTAACGAGCTTTAGGCGATGACTCCCAAACCAGTTGGCTTTTTTTTTTTTTGTAAAGACATCCACACATCCTTAGTGACTTTTTAGGGTCCAC